GAGTGTCTTTTGGTTAAAGATGTAGCTACATTACAGCATGAGTAAAGATTTGAAACAGTGCATGAACAGTGAGCATACAACCGCAGCCATAAATCTAGGCGCCTATATATACACTTTCACACCGGCACACACACACCCATGTTTTCATAACGTAGGTTTAACCATCTGGCCATATAGATTAGGTAGATAAAACAGCAATATTTTCAGCACTTCTTTGTTGCTAGGGGAACCGAACACTTGCTGTTAGTCACAGACATCTAACACCCATCCTTGTAGCGGTAATTAGTGCCCTATATAGATCTTTCGACGCGCATGCAAGTGACCCTTATTTCTGTTAGGATCGTCACACGAGTGAGAGAATGTCACTCTGTCTGCCATGTTTTTTTCTTTTTTCCCCCTTCACGTCTCTCATCCCCCTTTGCTCTTTTCTTTGTTTGTAATTGTATCTGAACTCTTTTGTTGTGTGTATTTTTTCATGACCTTGTGATTGACATGACTCCACTTTTCCACCGAAGTATGTTAAAGTGTGAGTGCTTTAAAACACCCTGTTTATGTAGACTTAGATTGAAGCGTTGCATCACATCTGAGTAGGCGTGTGTGATGTCTGATTTGTTTTTTCTGGGCGCATAAGTGAATCCTGAATAAATTCTGGATGTCTTTTATTGCACAATAATAGGGAGCTGGTGTTTTGCTAAAAATGAGAATATAATCAGGCTATACTGCAACACTAATCCTTAAATATCCCCAATTTAATGCTTCCTAATAGACAATTTCATGATTCAATAAAAAAAATCTGACTTTTAAAAACCGAGAACAACTTTAAATGGCTTAATATGTTAGTTGTTTATTTCACTTCATTTGGGAGGACATTTTCAAGGTTTTGGCCACAATGACAAAATTAATCCTATATTTGAAGAGTTCAAATGCAAAAAGTGCCATCTGAAAATTTCTTCTGAATCTAGCATTTTTCTCAGCTTTATGTTTGTGTTCAGATATTTTAGTTTAAATGTCATAAAAAGAACATTAAGGTGAAATTTCTGAACATACACTCATTTTAGACAGAGTTCAGGTGGTTGTTTCATCAGAACTCATTTTATTCTGTGTTATATTGGGACTTTTAATAGGCAAATCTATTTTCGTACTATAATAAATGAGCATTTTCACTTGCATGCATTCCTCACTGCATTCTCAAATTATTTTTATAAATGTGTACACATTTTAAAAGTTAAAATCTACAAACATTTTAAGAAAGAATTCATTTTGTGGGAGTATTGTCAGTCTGTGTTTATGGTTGCGCTCCAGAAAACATGAGATGCTTGGTTATTTAATTAATTAACAAACACCATTTCAGCATAAAATAAGGACAAAATAAATCCTATATTTGAAGAGTTCAAATGCAAAAAGTGCCATCAGAAATGTTTTTCTAAAACATTTCTCAGCTTCCCATGTTTGTGTTCAGATATTTCAGTTTAAATGCCAAGAAAAGAACATATAAGCTATTTTTATTAAAATGAAATTACTGACAACACAAGAGTCTGAGAAAAATGCTCATTTTAGACAAAGAGTTCAGATGGTTATTGCATCAAAACTCTTTATTTATTCCATGTTATGTATGGCAATATATATTTTGGACCCTTTATTTTAGTGTAATGGAAAAATGGTTCTTCTAAGTAATCACTGCTATACTGGTTTATTCATTCATTCATTCATTCATTTTCTTTTCAGCTTAGTCCTTCATTAATCCGGGGTCACCACAGCGGAATGGACCGCCAACTTATCCAGCACATGTTTTACGCAGCGGATGCCCTTCCAGCTGCAACCCATCTCTGGGAAACATCCACATACACACATACACTACGGACAATGTAGCCTACCCAATTCGCCTGTACCGCATGTCTTTGGACTGTGGGCGAAACTGAAGCACCCAGTGAAAACCCACGCAAATGTGGGGAGAACATGCAAACTCCACACAGAAACGCCAACTGACTCAGCCGAGGCTCGAACCAGTGAACTTCTTGCTGTGAGGTGACAGCACTGACTACTGCGCCACTGCGTCATCTTATACTGGTTTATGTCTTTTCTATATGGCACATTCTGCCAGAAACCTACATTTATCTGTTCCTGAAATAAAAACACAAACACAGTGAATAAAAAGTATTTTTTCATCCCATTTTTTTTAAATGGCTGATGGTTGATTTCTGTGAGCTGCTCTGTAATGGAATATGTCAATCATTTGGGTCTTAGATTTTTTTTCTTTATTAAAAACTCTACAAATTTGCAAACCCTGTTATTGTCCTTGTCCTCAGCCCAATTGCACCTACATGCGTATTTTTGGCACGTTCAAATCAAGACTGAAAACACATCTGTTTTCCTTTACTAGCACTGTGCTACTGTATGTCCGACAGATCACATTATTATGTCTTTCTTTTCTTTTTCATTCTTTTATAACCTGTTTTAACATTCTAATCTGTTTTTAATCACTTTTATTATTATGTTTTTATTTTCTTATTCTGGTCTCTTTTATTTCTGTTTATGTAAAGCACTTTGAATTGCCGCTGTATATGAAATGTGCAATAAAAAAAACTTGCCCTGCCTTACAGCTTTATTAGTTTTGCTAAAAAAAAATATTATTTATAATTAATTATTATTTTAGTTATTTAGAGAAAAAAAAAACAGAAATAGCCAGTCTAAGTTGTTATCATTCACATCAATTGATTTAAAAACATGAAATTATAAAAAAAATCTACAAATAAATACTATTTTACAATTGTCCCCATGTATCTGTCAGTCCGGTCACATTTGCATTAAATTTAACATAAAATGTGTGCAAAACTGGGCTATGGCTCGGAAGTGACATCATTTGACAAAGAAGTAGCTGACAGTAATCAAGGATGTGTTCTGTCGTTAAATTCTATGATTTTATGCTTTGTTTTTGTATGAATTTTATTTATTTATTTATTTATTTATTTTTTGAGGACGGCAAGCTAAAGTCGGGCTCTGTCACATTTTTATAAGCGAAAATGCATGTTTCTGGTTGAATGTCCCATAGCTCATTTTTGGTAGTTTATTTATAGTTATTTTTGTCTATAAATCCTAATAAAATAGTATAGATTAAATGACCTCTGGACATTTTTTCAAACTTTGTCAGGTTTGTCATCTAGTGGCAATATTAGCTGAATACATTAATGAAATAACAACTGACACTGAACAGCAATAAATAGGCTAAAGTATAGTGAAAATAATCAAATAGAAAATAGACACACTGTAGTCCGAGTTCCAGTTAAAAATACAATCCTCTGTGGTGTCTTTCTGTCCATCATTATGAGTGTATTTTGGTCAAATGAAATGTCGTATTCTCTGCAGATGAGGAAGTTTTTAGATTTCACCGCATCTGAATTACACTTCCATGTTATTTACCTGTCACGTGTTAAGCTAAAATCAGAAAGAGAGAGTAAACAAGTTACATTTTTAAAAGTTGACAGAAAATTTGTATACATTTAAAAGCTAAAATGTACAAACATTTTAAGGAAGAATTAATTTTGAGGGAGTTTTGTCAGTCTGTGTTGATAGTTGAGCTCCAGAAAACCTGAGATGCTTGGTCAGTTAATGAAATAAATAACACCATTTCAGAATAAGAGGATAATTCTGTTCACAGCAGAACTGTTACTATGTGAAAGAACCATTTAAGAATCATCTCTTTTGCAAGAGTTTTTACATGATGTAAAATTATGTATTATTTATATAAAAAACATAAACCTTTTGCCTTTTATTAAACCTCTAAAATTTTGTGAGCGACTGGTGGCCTCAAACTAACTAGCGTTCACTCAATGTACTGCATTCTAGCGTACTCTGCTGGACGTTTAAGGTACTAAACGGAATTGTCAATTAAAAAATATATTCATGAATGAAAATATACAACCACAATCAGGAGATCAATATAAAAGAGTTATATTAACTGCAGAAAGAAAAAACACTAAAAAACAAAGAAAGGGGTAAGTAAATTACAAGTGTATGATAATTAATAAATTAAGAGCATTACAGGAAAGCTATCTAAATCAAATCAAAGTCAATAGACTACAGTTCTTCAATAGAACCAAAAATCTGACACATTTTTATGTCAACATATTTTGAAATTAACGTGTTAACCAGATATATTTTATGCAATATTTGAAAGTGGATTTCTTTAGTTTTATTAGGAAGAAAGTGTTTATGAGGCAACAACTAAGCTTTTCTCCAGTCTATATTATTAATTAATGCAACTCAAGAATCATTTGATGAAACATGTTTGCTCTTCATTTGTATCATTTGTTGTTTCCAGATAAATAAGCTGTATTTTCAAACCCTTACAAAAACTATCGCAACATTTTCAAAATACTTAATTCTGTATGATTTATGAACCATTTTCAAAATAAACTAATTAAAAATCCCCCACTACTTCAGAAATTGCACAGCATACTGTTGCAAAAAATAGAATATATATATATATATATATATATATATATATATATATATATATATATATATTATATATATATAATCTTATTTTTTTTATATCTTTTTGTAATTTATATACCATTACTTTCCCTAAACACTATGAAATGAGGACAGGAGAAGAGGGTAAAATTATGTGAAATATCAGTCAAGGTGTTAACATTTTTTATTTGTATTTTCAACATGTATTATATTACAATAATCATTGTTTTGACATAAGATTATGTACGTTGGCATGAACTTAAATCTTTATTCGTTTATATATATATATATATATATATATATATATATATATATATATATATATATATATATATATATATATATATATATATATATATATATATATATATATATATATATATATATCAAATGTTTTTTTTTTATTTTAACCCAACAAACTATTTTAAAATGAATCTACCTCGACGTTCCAATAGTGTCCACTGGAGGCGCTACAGGTCCGCCGTTTAATTCTTACTTCAACTCTTGTGAATCACAGCGTTGTCACCGGTCCAGTTTCACCCCGCCCGTCCGCTTGGAGTCTGTCGCACAGTCGCTATGGACGCACGTCACTTAGTTAAACTACCCGCACTTGGGATATCATCTGTTTATTGCAGGCTCTTCGACTGAGGAGGAGACCCGCCGGACGCGGAGTGATGAACAGCGACCCCGAAACTACGGAGTTTGCGTTTGTAACGTTATATCCGTGAACCTCCATCTGGACACAAGAGACTGCCAGACATTTCTGGACGTTTTAGTTGCTAATTAGTTGCTTCAGTGATGTTACTCGACACAGATGTGGTTCTGTTACACTATCATCTTTTCGCTGTCTATGGGAAAAGATTATTGAGCGCTATAAACTTTTAACTTTGTGTTTGTGCTCTGTAACTGTGACGTCGCTAAGAGGATCTACTGTTACCCGAGCTCTGTACTCAACTCCAGACCGGGGCTCGAAACCCGGCCCGCTTCGAGACATTTTTTTTTGTCATTTAGGTAACTTAAGGAGTGTTACAAATGACTACTCTTTAAAAAAATGAGTCGAAATCGCTAGAGGAAATGAACGAGCGTATATAAAGGAGATCTATTGTTACATGTGAATGCACGCGGACAGAATGGCGTCATATGTGGACAATAGTTTTCGGCACGCGATCATGAAGATCCCAGCCGACAGGACGCAACAGGTATGAGACATACTACTGTATTAATGCTGCCTAAATAGGGAACAAACGCAGTTTGCTGCTACACAATAACTAAAGTTACAGTTTAGGGAAGCAGTGTAAATGAATCGATGTAAACAATCCAAACTGACTTTAAAACGTCTCAGTGCAATAGTTTTAGTTGTGTTGCAACGCCCAATTTAGTTATAACTTTACAACTAAAAGCTTGCACAACTCAAGCTGAAATACAACTCAATAAATTGGTCCATACATTGGTGTAGCAGTCGATTCTGTTCCCGGTTTACTCAGTCTAGGCTGACTCACATAAAAAATGTCTCAAAGGTATGTTTATACGACTTACGCTGACTTGCATCTCAGAAAGTTTGTTTATACACTAATAAATGAATTGTGCAACTCAAGCTGCTTTAGAACATCTCAACATATGGATTTAGATTTATAAATTAAAATGTTTTAGTTTATAAAACTAGAAAGTTGTTTATACAACTGAAGCTAACTTACAACTTCGCAACAAGACCATTTATATAATCCAAGCTGACTTACAAAGTCTTCTGTCTCAATATTGTTTACACAACTAGAAAATAGTTTGTGCAACTAAAGCTCGCTTAAAACATCTCGATTCAATTGCTTGTTAAACTCAGCCTGACATTCAACAGTGTCTGAATAATTTGGTTTATAAAACTAGGAAACTGCTTATGCATGTAAATTTGACCTGAAACATCAATATATCTATGTATGCCAATAGAAGACAAAGTGTTACGCAATGGTTTATACAACACAAGACGAGTTTATACATCTAAAACTGACTTGAAATATCTCCAGGAAATAGTAAGACATTTTCATACACAGTTGACTTGAATTCTCTGGTGCGCTCAGACATTGGAGACATAGTTTCATTTAGACCAGCTTGTATAAAGGCGCCAAGTAATTTTGGTCATTTGTGGTGTCTCTTTAGTATGTAACCAAAACAAAGTCAAGCGTCTTACTGTTTTGTTCCACATTTCTGCTCAGTTTTGTTGTAATCAGAGCCACAAGGTTTTTTTTAAAGCATTGCTTAATATAGTCTCACTCATCAGAGCTAGACCTTGTCGCTGTGGTATTTCAGACGTATATTACTCATCTGTCGGAAAGGACTATTTCCTCACCATGCCCTGCAGTCCAGACTAGATCATCCTCATTTAAACCAGCTGCAATAAACAAACGTCACAGCACCATTTAGCTCCAGACCACAAGCTCATTAGTGTTTCAACTTTGCAAACTACTAGCATTGTTTGAATGTCTGCGCACTCTGAAACTCCTGCCTGTGGCCACGTAAAAAGGCATTTGAGTTCTGTGTGTGGGACCTCTGGTTTGTGCGTTGTGGACCAAGGAATTTAATGAATCGAAGGAATGTGAGGAATGTAGTTTATAGTGTGGAGCCTTCAGTTTTGGACCCCTGTGTACTTCCATGAAGATTTAAAGCTGTTTGTTTAGGAAATTCATGTTTTGTTTCTTATAAGCGTAATATCAGTCCAATAGGAATACTCTAGCTATAGAAAGGATTATAGATCAGACTCTGGCACCTCTGACTCCCAGGAGTCTCAGGCCCTGTTTGCACTAATATGTTTTAGTTTTAAAATGCTGAAGTTTTCCTATGGTTGCGCCTTCTGTCCAAACTACCCCAGATAATTTTGAGCCATGAAAACGGAGCGTTTTTGAAACGCTAGAGAGGCTGTTTTGGTTTCAAAATGCTGCTGCTGTGTCTCAACGTGGTTTGAGGTAAACAGAGACATTGAAAAATGAGTAGGGCTTTTTCCTCAGTATTAAGTGCACCAAGTTCAGTCTTGCACCCTTTCTTAAGTTCAGACTTTGAAAGTTAGATATAGAAAACAAACTCCCGAGGACACTTTGGGTAAAAACACACTACTTTATAACGTTATTCACACCACACTGGCTACGTTGTTTCACTATCTTAAAAAAAAAATGAAAACATGATATAAGGAACTGCCTATTTTTATTGTGATATAACTTAACTGACACTAAATATGTTGTTGCTATGTGTAGCTGCATATTTATATGACTGTCATCTTCACTGTGTACACATTTATAACAAAACGGAGCCTAAAACATAACTGCCTCCTTTGATTCTCTGTGAAAAATATGAAACACACCTTCTGTTTTGCTGAATTTCAGTTTTAATAATCAATAATGGCCATTATAAAAGTATAACTTACAATAGGTTTATACTGTATGGGTAATAAAGGCAAACAGTCAGTCATGTGCAGAGTAAGTGTACGTGGTCACATTAATTAATATATCAACTTCTCTTTGCGCTCTGCCAAAACAAGTTACCTGTGAACAAGTAATAACAAGTAATAGATGCGCTGCTCTCACCTGGTGAGGTGTGCTCAAAGCACCCGCTGACTGCCTGGAGTTCTGACGTGCGCATACGCAGCAGCGCATGCCAGAGTGTGTGTGAGTGGTTGCATAATGTGGGTTTTTAGCAGTGTAGTGTGGACAGAGGAACGCCAGTGTGGATGTGGATCATTTTCATTCTAAAACACTTTTTAAAACTAAAATGTTGAAGTGTAAACTAGAGCTGAGAGACACCCAGAAACCACTGTGTAAAGCTGACAAAGCCCAGTGTGACTTAAATGAAGAGATAAGAACTAACACTGTAAGGGCACATTTGATCTTGTAAACTACTTTTTGCATAATTAAATAATTACATTTGCATGTCTGACTGGGCTAATGACCAAAATGTTGTTCAAGTCTGGCAGGAATTGATCTATTAGGTACCATTATGTGCTTATAACAAGTACATTTTTAAAGTTTTCTGTAGGATTTTTTAGTAGTAAATGTTTTAGAAACAACTTTAAATGAGTGTTAGCGCAATGATAAATAGGGAATAATTAAGCTAGTTCACTTGCTGAGAGGTTTTAATATGTTATTCACGTGGGGCCTCGTGGTAATCAGATTAGCATGGTAAAGTATTTTGGTCAAGGACCAGCTGCATTACTGCTAAAGCTTTTTTGTTTTCTCTGTTTCACATAATATTCTTGTATTAAAGTAATTAATGAGTCAAAAGGTGATGTTGACAAATGTTCAGTAGACCATTTATATTTTATTGTGGTTAGATATAGACTATGTATATCGGTTAGTCACTAACTGTTGTGTCAAAATACACCCAATTTGCTAATAGAATTGCATCAGAAGTGATGAAAACCTCATGTATTTGTCATGATTGATGATTAATTCTCATACGTGGTTTAGTTGCCATGCTGCCCACAATGAGAGCGGAAAACCGCATTGAACCTTGCATTTTGACTGCGTCTGACATAACATTCTCATGACTCTGGTGTTAAACGTGTGTCTTTGCGTGCATGTAGAAGGAAGTGTGTTTGTGTGCCGTTTTCTCTTATCCATTTGTAAACATTTGAGGATATTGAAGCTTTGGCCTCACTAGAGACTCCTTTCTCTTCTTAGTTATGTAACCAATTGTCTGTTTTCCCGGCCAGTTATTATGTTTATAAGCCTGTTATTTCCATGAGCACACACACATACTAGAGCAAGTGTGTGTGCAACAGGGACTTGAGAGTTTTAAGGTGTTACTTCCCCATGTAATGACCCCGGCCTTGTTGTGCTTGCTTGTGAGAGCAACAGGAAAAGAGCTGAAGAATGAGATGTACTCCGATAGGAAAGGAGTAGAAGAAAGAGAGGAAAAGGGTAAAGGAGAGACCAGCAGAAAAGAGAAAACAACTTTTACACACCTAACTAAACAACAGAAGTCTTTAAACTTTAGTGTTTATTGTTAATTGGGTTGTAATTCTAAGGAATAAGTGGGGCTAATGAATCTGAATCGGACGTCCTAACACACGTCTTGCGCTTCAGACTGGTGTGTTTATGATAATGCATTTAAATGAAAATAGTATGATAAATAAAATGCTAGTTTCCAACATCAAGCAGCATAAGGAGTTGTTTTGTACGGCTAAAAAAAAAATCAGTGGAAGTGAATGAGACCGGAAGTCTGGATTACCATGGCCATGCCTGGTTACAGTGGCCATTAGGATTGACTAATATGGTTATTGCTGATGTAGCACATTAGGGCAGTAATAGTATATCACAGTAATAGTATATGCAATATCCATATCACAGAGAAGTGCAATAAATGGAACAAATTTTAAGTGCAGAGCATTTGTGTGCTTGCTACATAGGTTGTTTATCCAAATCTCACTTATCAGATGGCGCCTTTGCTACCTTCATCTGCACCTCTACAGCAAGTGCTTTTAGATGAAAATAGAGGTAAAAAATGCTAATGCTGGGAGAGGAGAACAACAATTTTGCTGCCAATTGGAGTGTTTTAAAGTGTTCATTTTATTTAGATGCAAGCAATAGATATATAGAGGTAAATCTAATCTGTTTATTTTAGTAAGATCATTAAATAAATATTTTTTTTATTGCTGATAAAATAGCATTTTAAATGGGCCTTAAAAGGCTTAGTTGTGTTTATGGGGTGTAAAACAATGTGTGCTTGTGCTTTATTTGTAAAACAGTCCTCTTATTTTTTATCTGTATCATATTTTTGAGTTACTCCAAAGGCCAACCATCTACAGGCTCTGATTTGTCAGCTAACATAATGTCTTGTGATTTGCGAAATAGTTCCACATCACCAGGAAATGTCACGCCTTTTGCTGTCGTCTGTTGTGTAAATAATGTCAAGGCAGCCATATTACTTTGAGCCTGAATCAGAGACGGTAAATGAAGAGGACACCGCTAAAGACAAGTCTTTCAAATATATTTGTGTTATACGCATGTGTAAGTAATACAAATGTACACATATCTTTTGTGAAATCAAGTTATTATTATTTCATTTTATATTTTTTATTTTTAATTTTTAAGTCTCCCTTTGCAATTAAGTTTTAGCATTTTACATTCAAACATGTTGTTTGTTCAGACAGCTATATTACACGCATAAACTAAAGTTTAAAATATGGTAGCGTATTGGACCACCCCTTTAAAGTTAGTTC